TGGAGACGTGTGCGGACGACCTCAAGCGGACAGGTGATGACAGTTCCCGTAGCACCGCCAATCCTAAGAAAAATAATCCGATCAGATTAGCGAATATTGGCTAGCAGGCTTGTTGAAGGAGAACAGCAGACCACCCTCGGCACTATGCCAAAGGACAGGCACAGTCATCTCAAATTTTAAAAAAATCAACAAACATAGAATCAAAAGAAAGAATCGGAGATTCTATAGAAATCTCAAATTCGTCGAATGATTGAAATCGAGAACGAATGGAGGGCAGGACACGTACGCGCCGGCCAGGAGGTGCACGTAGGTACTCTGCGCCTTGTGCTTCTTGTGCGTGGTCGTCACGGGAGGTGATTGAGATGGCGATTGAGATGCAACGGTGATTTGGGCCTTGAATCTCTCGGGCGGTGCCGCTGGCGGCTCTGCGGGAGGGCGATGCGGGGCAGGTGCAAGCGACGTCGTCATCGTGTGTTCAGTGTGTGTATGAGTGAATGGCCGTGCTAACTAAAGCAGCTTCGGTAGTGGTTGGTAGTGGCTAGTGCTTTGTCTCGAACTGCAGGTGAGTTCGCTTGTCTCTTTCGCGGGGTTTAGGCGACTTGAATTCGTGTCGACATCAGAAGTCGTTGGCAGGTGCTGCCCGCAAATTGCCTGGTTTTCTCTTTTCTCAGCTGAAATTTCGAGGCAGGCCCGGTGGGCTTGGCCGCTTGTGGGACGATCGGGACGACAGGGACGCTGGGACACCCAGCAGACCGACTGCTGATGGAGTGGAAGTGGTCGGGAGATGTAACGGCATGCCACGCGAGGATCAAGGATTGCAATCCAAGCCGGGAGAGCGCCCGGAAGCGGGCCCGATGAGGCAGGATCGGTTGGTTGTGTCGTCTTGAGGCCGTGGCTGTTCCACTGAAAGCTCAACAAGGATCCAAAGCGACAATGGTGTGGCATGTGAGCTCCGCAGTACTACATGTCGGTTGCCCTGCGATGACATTGCGTTTTGGGCACAACTTCCACCTGCCCACCACTGTCCTTCAGATTTTCAGTCCCATACCCAGAGACAGTTTGTTCGACATCCACACCACATTTGTGATTTACCTTCCTGCCTCTCCAGTAGCACACTGGCGATCAAGACGGGGGCGACCACCTTGTGGCCACACTTCACCAGCGCCTCCGTAATAACTACAGCCCAATTGTTTTGTGGCGTGGTGTACAGTCAACACACTTGTTGGTCTTCTTCCTACTCGCACAAACAAACCGCAAAATACATCCACCACGCTCTGGCCGACCCACACCTTTCCTCCTTGATGTCCTTCTTGAGCGCTCTTCGGTCAAGTCGGTCAAACCACCCACACACTCTCTCGCTCTCCCCTCCTCCTCTTACCCTCTCCTCGTTCTTCCTTCGCCTAGTACTTGAAGTCGGCATCGACGTCCATGGCCCAGGGGAACTTGTCACGAAGAGTCTTGGAGAAGATCTTCTCGATCGGCACCTGTGAGCACAAACACACAAAGCATAGCATAGCATAGCTGGCGTCAGCCTCGTGCCACAACAACAACTAACGCGCAAGGTCACAATCAAACAATGTTGATCGGATGGGCTACGTACGTCGTGCTTCTTGCACCAGGCGGCGGTGATCCTGGGATCCATGTAGTTGATCTTGGAGGTGCCGAGGGCGATGGTCTTGAGCTCGTCCTTCTGCTCGATCTCGACCTTGCGGTTCTTGATGCGCTCATCGAGCTTCTGGATGGCCTTCTTGATGCGGGTCCGGTCGGTAGGCAGCGACGCCTTCTTCTTCTTTTTGGGCGTGCCGTCCTCGTTGTTCTCCTCCTCGGACTCCGACTCGGACTCGGGCAGGGGCTTGCCGGCCTTGACCAGCTCGTACCGGTGCTGGAGCTTCTTCTTCTCGGCCTCGAGTTCCTCCACCAGATTCTTCAGCTTCTCCATCTGCGCCGAGTGGGACTTCGGGACGGACCTCTGATGGTTACACAGAATCGCCACTTGTCTGTTGGCCCTGTTGTAATGCAGCACCTGCACACCAACATCAACATCAGCGCAAGTACAGTCGAGTGTCGTGCGTGTGTGTCGTGCTGTAGTGCGTGCGTGTGTGTTGTGTGCGTGAAACAGAGTGAGTACCTTCTCGGCTACGTTGAGGTCGCGGGGCATGGGCTTGTTTAGTTCCTGCTGGAGGGTGAACGAGGCGTTGTAGGTACGGAACACCTTGGCGGTGAGACCCGGCATGAGGGACTTGAGGTAGGAGTTGAGGTTGGTCGTGGTGAGGCGGTCGAAGAGGTCGTCGGCCGGCTTCTTGCCCTTGCGGAAGAGGCAGAAGTTCTTGAAGATGACGCGCGGCACCTCGGTCGAGTTCTCGTAGCGCATGGAGTCCTTACCCAGGAAGTCGAACTTGATGGTGGCCGGCTCGATGCACTCGACGTGCTCGACGCGAAGCGAGCAGCAGCCCACGGTGTCGGCCTCGTCGTCGCCCTTCTCGTTACCGACACGGAGAGCGAGGTGGTCGATCACCCACAGCGCGGTGGCGCGCTGACGCTCGAGCTTCTCCTTGGACTTGAGGTCCTTCATGTAGTTCTTGCGGATCTTGTCGATGTGGTTCTTGAGCTTGCGCGAGGTCTCGAACTTCTTCATGTCCGACTGGCCCTTGATGTGCGAGCTGGCCGACAGCCACACGTACTTGAAGCCGCCGTTGATGGTCTCCTTCCACATGGCGAGCCAGGTCACGGTGTTGTTGTGCGTCACCGTGCCCCACTTGTGGCCGGGGATCGGGCACTTGGGCACCTTGGCGTCCTTGCCGATGTTGATCGTGACGTCCTCCGGCATGATGCGCTTCTTCAGGTGGCCCGTCTTCGGGTGCGCGCCGCGGCCCAGGAACAGACCGGGCGGCTCGACCCTGTAGTTGCCGATCTTGACCTTGTGGCCGTCGACCAGCGCGAATCCGTACTTCTCGGTGATCTTCTCCTTCTCCTCCTTCTCCTTCTGCTTGTCCTCCTTGGTGCGCGTCTTCTTCTCCTCCTTGCGCTGCTGCAGGAAGGCGTTGATCTTGGTGAAGTCGCACAGGTCGAACTTGGTCACGCGCTTGTAGACGGCCGGCGTCGACTTGAGCAGCGCGCGGAAGTCCTTGAAGAAGTTCTCGTTGAAGGTCTTCTTCTTGACGTGGTCCGTCTCCAGGTACTGCGCGTAGTACGTCGCGGCCTCCTCCTGCTCGCTGGTCAGCTCCACGGGCTCGCCGTCGTAGTAGAGCTTGACGCCGTGGGGCTCATACGCGGGCGGGAACAGCACGCCGTTCCACTCGAGCGTGGTCCACTTGATGCCCTCCTCGTCGCCGTCCTTCTTCTCCAGCCACCACTTCCACTCGGACGACTCGCCCTCCTCGGTCTTGGCCTTCTTCGACGCGCGGCCGCCCTTGGCGGTCTTGGCCTTGCCCTTGGAGGGCTTCTCCTCTTCCTCATCGTCGTCGGCCTTCCTCTTGCGCGACGACGACGACTTGGAGGAGGATGAAGATGACCTGCTGCTACTGCTCTTCTTGTCCTTCTTCAACGAAGATGAAGAGGAACTGCTCCTCTTGCTACTGCTACTGCTGCTGCTCCTCTTCTTCTTGTCCTTCTTCTCTTCCTCCTCGTCCTCGAAGTCGTCTTCGTCTTCATCGCGCCTCGAACGCTTCTTCGACGATGACGCAGATCGCGAGGAGCTCTTCTTCTCGGCGAAGTCGTCCTCGTCCTCTTGTTCCTCCTTCACACTTCGCTTGCTGCTCGATCTCTGCTTTTTAATAGCAAATATTAAAACTTAAAAATCAAAGCAATCAAAGCAAATCAAAAGGAAAATGGAAATGCGTGAACAGAGAAGAAAAGGAAAGAAGGAAAACTGGGTTTGAGAGCGTACAGAAGAGGAAACCGTGTTTCTTTGTTTCTTCATCTTTCGGTTCAGGCTTGATGGGAGCTGCCGCTTGGGCTGGGGTTGGCTTGGCGCTGGCCTGAGTGGAGGTTGATGATGCCGGCGTGGTGGTGGGTTCGATTTCCATCGAATGAACGGGAGGCCTGTTGGTCGAGGTGACATGCTTCTCGACCGCTGCGACCACGGCCGCCGCCACTGCCGGGGCGATCGTGGGGGCGGTGGGAAGGGGATAGTATTCCTCCTCCTCATCGTCTGACATCACGATCCTCTTCTTGGCGCTCATTCTACCAACCGATTGGTTAACTCTCGATCTTCTTTGGGAGATGCTTTAATGTCTCTAATGCTCGTCTCTATATATGCACGTATCGTGTATCAGGAGTGTTGGTGCAAAAATGTACGAGATGGAATGTGTGTACAAGGAAGGCGAAAAAGTTAATGTCAGTTGTGAATGGTGAAGTCGAAGGATCTGGCGTACCCTCAGTGCGGGGCGGAGGTGCTTCGTGCGCCAAGTGTGATCAGACTCTGTCGTTTCGCCGGCACGAGACGAAAGAAAAATCCCAAGTCCGGTGGACTTAGCCGTTTCAGCGCCAGTGGCGGTCGACAAGAATTCGCCAAACGGCTCTCCCCGGAAAAACAAACCGAATTGCTAAGGGCCGAATTGAACAATTCGAAACATTTAAAAACAAATAAATAGTTTTTTGGTTGTGATGTTACGGGAGGATCAGGCGAAGGTGAGTTGGCTGACGGCGAGTGGCGAGGGAGAAGGCGAAGGCGAGGAGGCAGGCGAAGAGGGTGAGGGAGAGGGTGGTGGTTGTGCCATGTGCCAAGTGCGCGGTCGGTCCACGTTGCCGCTGGCGCGCATCCACATTTGCGGCACAGGCGGCGACGCCTCGCCAATGCTGGCGGCATTGTCGCCCTCTTCCGAAGCTTCAAGCACGCCTGGTGCCTCTTTCGACACTGTCGGCACCGCACCACTGCACGTTGTACGCCATGTCAACACGACACACATGACACACTAAATTCACGAGCCCACGAACCTGGAGATATTGGAAAGCGATGATGATGGCGGCAGCGGCTTTTCGGGTGGACGCACGCCGAGGGCGTCGGCGCTCGACTGAAGGGAGGAGAGCGGCGAACCGGAGGAGGAAGAGGGTGAAGAGGAGAGAAGCGACATGGATGCGGAGAAGAGTCCCGCCGCGGTGGGCGAGTCGAGCGTGGAGGAAGGTGAGGTCGAATCCGCCGCCAGTTCGGCGGCGGTCGCGCTCTCCAGTCGGTCGATGCGGCGCACGATCGACTCGAAGGACCGGAGCAGCTTGGCCAGCTCCTCAGAGTGCGCGGCCGAGCGGCGGGGTCCGGAACTCCCCGAGGCGCCCACCACTCCTGCAGAGACACACAGCCGCGAGTAAACAACTCAGTCACTACTACGACCGCCTGACGGCCGCTGTGCAGTGGGGGGGGGACGGTACGAATGGCGCCAAATTCGGAGGACTGCGAGGTAGCGGCGACGAAGAGAGACTCGATGCCGCGCTGAATGCTGTCCTTCTTCGTGTAGAGCTCGCCCAGCGACGGCGGCTCTGTGTGCGCCGGAGGCAGGAGTTCAGTATAAGAGACAGCGACACACAATCAATCAAACGATCAAACGAGCAAACACTGTACCCGATGTCGACTTGGTGCTGATTTCGTCGCTGGCGGTGCCATCGAAGGAGTCGCCGCGTCGCTGCGAGCCCAAGGCAAGCGCTGAGCAATGGGGGAGGGAGGTGAGCAAAAAATATGCGAGGAATGCAAAAGGCGGGGAGCCGAGCGACGTACCGCTCCCGACGGTTCTGCGCGCGGGTTTGCTGGCGCGCGAGGGCACGGGCGGCGGCTCCCTCTTCTCGATTTGATTCACGTTGCCGCCGACTCGCCGGATCTCCTGGTGCAGGATTTCCTTCTGTCGCTGCCTCTCGCTGCGCTCCTTCTCGAGTTGGTCGGCGGCCCTCTGCTCCTTTCGAACCTCGCGCTGGTGCTCGCGCTCCTTGCGCTCCTTGTCCTTCTTCTCCTTGCGCTCGCGGTCGGCCTTTTCCTTCTTGATCTGCACCTTCTGGATGATCTTGCGCAGCTTGTGCTTCTTGGGCAGCGGCACGGGGCCCGTGATCTCGGGCATCGGTTGCGGGACCGGACAGCGAACGAGAATCTCCGTCAGCTGCTTGAACGGCGCCGCGCCCAAATTCTGCAAGCGTCAAGCCACACACAACGCACGGCACACGTTGTTAGCGCAGGTGACTCGATGAGTCGACTCACACAAGGGGGAGCATATAGGGAGAGCTCACCTTGGCAGGAGGCATGCTGGCCAGCTTGGAGCCGATGGCCGGCAGGTGTGAGCACAGAACGAAGTGGAGCGCGCGGACCTGCGGCACCATCTCCTCGAGAGGGACTTTTTCCAGCGCCTCCGACATCTGTGATATCAGTCGACAAAACAACGACCGCCCAACAATGATGAGCGTTCACTGTGCCAAGGCCTACACAAGGGCGAGCAATGCGGAGAATGCGGCCATGGTACCGTGGGAGGAGTGGAGAGGACTTCGAAGAAGGCTTCGGCGCAGACCATGTTGCTGGCGATGAACCGGTTGATCTTGGTCATGTGCTGCTCCTTCTCACCGAATTCGACGCCGTTGGCCAGGTTCTGGATGACCTTCGACACCAGCACCAGGCCTCGCCTGCACTCGGCCGAAATCTCCTTGTCCTCTGCTGGAAGACGAAGCGTTAATTTCAGTATTAAATTATAAAATTAAAATAGGTTCAATAATAAAAATAATAAAACTAATAAATTTCGAGGGACGAACCATCGATGAGGCCGTAGCGCTCGGGGCTGACGATAGCGGGGCAGATGAAACGAAGGAAGAAGAAGCCCGAGAGGACTGAGTACTTGCTCTCGGGGAACTTCTGGACAACCTCCTTGTGCAAGTGGTGACAAATCACTCTGGTGGCGATATGATCGTGTTAGTTCGACGCTGCGTGTGCGTGTGCGTGTGCGTGTGCGAGTGCGAGGTGTATTGTGCTGCGTACCGCAGAGGCATCGGGCATTGTGCGATTGAATTAGTGATGGTGCCGAGGAAGATTGAACACAGTTGCTCCAGGTTCTCGATGTTCTTCTCCAGGATCTGCTCGGGCTGTATGCGGATGGGGTCGACTGCGGCGGCGTTTTGTTATGTTTTTTTGTTGTTGAGCGGAGGGTTGCGGTGACATGGTTGAAGAACAATTATCATTATAAGCAAAGGGGCCGGTGTGTGTACCTTCGAGAGACTTCCCCTTGGCGTAGGTGTCGACAACCAGCTCGACGAGGTGGTGCAAGGTGTCGACGAGATAGGTCTTGCCCACGATCTGGCAGTACACCGAGAGGAGGTGCGACGCGATGTCGTTGCCACGGAACAGTGTCGACTCGAGCACTTTTCCTGTAGACAAAACGCATACCAATGAGCCGCAGAGGCGAGCCGATGTTAGATGTGGGAACGACTGCAGCGTACCCGTAGCACGGACTTCGTCGGCGATCAGGGAGAAGAGCAGGGGGAGGGAGCGGTTGGGGAAAGCGCGCAGGATCTCCATGTAGGCTCGCGCCGTCCGCTCCACTTCGGCCGCGCTTTCGATGCAGCCGCACAGCGCCTCGACGATGCGCAGACCGCACTCACCTTTCCATGTAAAATGAGAGAATAAGAATAACAACAATGATAATATGGATTTTAAGGAATAATAAGCGAAAGGCCGGTGAAGTACTGAGTCCAAGCAGGTCGGCCAGCGCGAGATAGCCGGGCGACAGGTGATTCTCGTCTTCGCCGACCGCGGGCACGACGGCCTCCGTGGCGTCGGCAGTCGTGCTGGCCACAGCGATCGCAGCCGCAGATGCCACAGCGATTGAGGAGCCCGAGGTGTTGCCGCCGCCTGCTTGGGAGGAGTGAGTTTGTGGGTGCGAGTGGTGACGAAGAGGCCCTTTACGCACCGCTTGCAGGGACGCATCGCACGTAGTCCACGTCGAACAGGCCCTGGCTTCGGGTACGTTCGTTGTAGCCCAACAGCAGGCGACTCGGGTTGCCGGCCTTGGGCTTCTTCTTGCCAAGAACCACAATCCTGTCGCCCTCGCGGAAGGACAAGTACTTTTGTACGCGATGCACCCAGGGCGCCTATTGCGATGGCGTAGCTCCAAGGTCGGTACACACCGCACACAGACACACACGGCGCACACACACACACACGACATATCAATGGAGTTTCAATAGCTTACCTGGCTGCCGGTTCGGATGCCCGCGTTGTTTCCGTCCAACGCCTGCTGAAGTGGTGGCTCGGCTGAACATGGAGGAAAGGCGTCAGAATTCTTTGCTTTAAGCGGAGGCGGCGACTCGAAGGAGAGAGGTGCGTACCATCTTTGCCGCTTTCCCCCTCGAAATCGTCCTTGTTGTGCTTGGCAAACAGCTTCTCCTGGTTCCACGCGCAGTTGTAACTGTACAGAGCAGACACCACGAAGGGCGAGGACAGTCCCCCGTGACGCCCAGCCAGCTGCTCCGATGCTCGCGCCACGTCTGCCATAAATTGAAGAAAAATATAAAAGATTTAAGGTAAATAAAGAGAATAAATAAAAATAGTAAGGGAATGTGAATAACGCAAAAGGGGGAGACGGAGCACCTTGGATGTGTCGGCCGAGCCGCGAGATGAGCTTGACTTGCATCCGGTTGAGGGCTTTAATGGCCGTCGGAGGGATATAGCCCTTCGGATCCAGCTGTTGTTGTGTTAAACAGGGACGATCAATAAGGGACCGACCCTACGACACTACGCAGTGGTCACATTTGCAACACAGGTACCTGGGAAATGGCGATGATGGTGGACGTGTTGTCGGGAGCGGGTACGATCAAAAAGCCGGAGAGCTTCGTGCCCGCTCGAATGCAATTCTCACGCGAGGGCAACTCTCGGTTGTGAACCTAACACGACATCGCACAGCGCACGGTCAGCTTCGATGTCGGGACGTCCCCGTTGTGTGCGTGAAGGAGTACGGTGAGCAGCTGACTGTACCGAACGGTATAAATATACACAGGTGCCGTCGCTGAAGCGCTTGGCCGTGCGGAACACGAGGAGATCGCGCGCCTGTACATTGCGTCCTCCTGCACGCGGGGTGACGGGTACGTGAGAAGAAGAGTCCATGCGAAGACGACAAGAGAGCATTTGCGCATACCTGGTATCCACAACTCGATGCGAAGGAGTTGGCCCACGTTTCGCACATTCTTCTCCACCCGGCCGACGCCGTAGAGGTCATCCCACATGCTGCGTTCGTCGAGCGACATCATAAAGTCAAGCACCTGCATGCAGACGCGTATGTCAGTGGCAAGCAAGCAGTGGCCACCCCCCATTCAGCACGACACACACACACACACACACAACACACGACACAAACAACACGCGGTCACATCAGGTGTATATTATACCTTATGCGAGGGCGCAGGGACGACGCCGATTCCGCGGCAAGCGGGCAGAGAGCCGTTGTTGAAGGTCATTTGTGAGATCCTCACGCCGTCCTCCTCGCTCTCCTCTTCCCACTTCCCTCGCTCCCACATGCCCTGCACCAGCCCGTTCACTAACGGCCATAGGGGGACGAGTGGTAATTAATCAACTAGTACTCCGGCGAGGCTGATGATTGGGTGCGTACGCTCTGGCGGGGCGACTGTGACGCCGGACGACGCCGACGAGTAGCGAATGAACTCGGCAAACACAACGTCGGGAATGAGGAACATGCTCTGCTTCAGATTCTGCACCGCTCTCCCCTCCTTGGCCTGGCAGAGCGAAAAAGAATTAAAGGATTAAAATAAAGGAAAATAAATAAAATAAAATGCATTATTAGGGAGCAGAGAAAATATGTGTACCGCTTCCTCGTCTTTGGGCGTGGGTTGCGGCGGTGTGTTCTTCCAGGCTTCGACTTCCATGTCGCACGTGAGGACCGAGTGGAAGAGCTTCTTCAGGAAGAACGAATACGATATGTCCTTGGTGATGACCCGCCACACCTGTCGCACATCGGCCGGATCGAAAGAAAGAAAGAGAGCGAGTAGTGGATTTAGAGTTGAACTCCCTCACTGATTTGCTCACGCGCCGAGAAGCAGGAGACTGACGAGCGTACCTCGGCCTGCGCGCCCTCGAACAGGAGCGGATGGAGTGGGGCGTCCTTCTTCGCGAACTGGGACTCGATGTCGCTCAGAATGGAGGGGCTGACCACCACCGGCGCGTCCGAAGGCCGCGGGGATTTCGGGCGTGCACTCGCGGCGGCGGGCGAGACAGCGCACTGCGACGGTCGCAGGTACTTGGCGTACAGTGCCGCCGCGAAGTCTCGTCGCACCCGGTGCGCCTCCGGTGACGTGCACACCTGCACACACCGGCGATGAGAAGGAGAACAGGAATAACAATAACAACAAAAACAATAACAATAACAAAAATGATAGTTACGAGTGGCGGTGAAACAAGGGCACTTATCAGAGGCGCGTGCAACATACGTTGGCTGATCGCTTGAAGTTGTCGGCCAGCAGCCAGAAGGCGAATGCGTCGAGGTTGACCATATCGTCCTCCTCCATGGTCGAATTTTTGCGTGCGAGCTGAGACGAAGCGGAGGAGTTGGCCTCCTCCTGGAACGTCTTGATCAGGAACTCGCGATTCCTCGACCTGCACCCGAATAATGAATCAATCGATGCATGCGTGCTAGGTGCGTGCGTGCAAGAAAATGGAGAGATTGCCGAGGAGGCACCTCGGACTCTGTGGGCGAGGTCCGTTCTTCTCCTTCGACCGATCGCCCTTGCGCTCGCTGCTCTTTTGGACCTGTATGGTCGCCTGCAGGGCCGCCATGTTGAGCGAGAGACCGCTCTTGGGCGTCTGTGCAGAATAATAGCACACAACACACAACACACAACACACAACACACAACACACAACACACAACACACAACACACAACACACAACACACAACACACAACACACAACACACAACACACAACACACAACACACAACACACAACACACAACACCACAAGGCGTCAGGATCGCGCTCGATCCAAGCAGGCAAGCAAGTCAGAGGGAGAAGAGAGCGAAGCGTTTCGTACGAGGTCATTGTCGCTGTGCACTGAGGGCGATCGAGGCGACTTGCGCGTGCTGTTGGAGGGCGACGAGTGCGACGAGTAGGTGCCCCACTCGTCCGAGATGGCCTCGAGGGAGAGGGACTCGGTCGACGACGAGTCGCCTGCGTGGCTGCTCTTCTTCGTGGCGGCCTTGTCGTCCGAGGAGCGCAGGAAGAGGGGCAGCGCGGGCCGGCCCATGTCGGTCAGCGCTCGCCGCGTCCTCTTCTTGTCGCTGAGGGTGAGCGGCTTGATGCCGTTGTTGGGGCTGCCGCTGCTGCCAACACCATCTTCGTTGGCTTCATCTTCGTTGCCGCCTCCGCTGCTGCTTCGGTCGTCCGCCTTTTCCTTCTTGTTTTTCTTCTTGTCTTTCTCCTTCTTCTCCTTCTTGTCTTTCTTCTTGTTGCTGCGCGGCGAAGATGTGGATGGGAAGGGGGCCGAGGCGGCTTGTGGTCGCACGATCTCATCCTTGGCCTTGGTGAAGGAAGCGAGTGTTGGCTTGCGCCGCTGTTGGCTGTTGGGGTCGACAGTCATGGGCGGGCTCGATGAGAGATTGGGCGTAGGCGGAGATGAAGTCGTGGAGGTGGGATTGGGCTTCCACTTGACGCCACCGAAGAGCATGGCCTTCTGCTGCACGATCTTCGATCCCCTCTTGCGTCCAAGCGATCCGGTGGCCTCCCCTCCCTCTGCACAGGGCTGATCTTCGTCATCTTCGCTGTCGCTCGTGCCGAGATCAGGGAAATCGACGAGGCTGCCACTTCGTCCTCCTCGTTGCGATTCTGTGCTGCTACTTCGTCCTTGGATGACGTCCTTCTCGTAGAGCTGTTTCAATTCGCGCACGGAGGGCACCCTTAGCGGCGTCACCTTCACATTCGACGTGTAGGAAGAGGAGGAATCGATGGAAGCTGTAGAGCTGGAAGCAGAGGAAGAGGCAGATGAGGATCGAGGAGAGGTGCTCGAATTGGAAGTCGAATCCGTGGAGAAGATGGAGGCCGCGGCGACCGCCACCCGCTTGCCCCTGCCGGACAGCGTGCCGAACAGGTTGAGCGTCTTTCTCGTCGTGCTGGTGGGTCCGCCTTCCATCGATGGCCCGCCTCTGGAGCTCGTGGTCGCGCTCATCGAGAGGGACCCCCCGCCAAAGGCGCCTAATCGATCTTCCTTCCCTGCCGCTAATCACTTGTTGATATGGGCAAGGTGGCGAGGCGTCGGTCTATTGAACCCCTCCCAGATCGGCCCTTAATCTCTTGTAGCGATTGACTTCTTCAGATCTCTCTATTTCTAGTTCCCTTCCGTAGTTCTTGTTGCTTCAACGCCTCGTATCGGGGCTCGCCCCTCGCCCTCTCCTTCCCCTCTTTCGGTCTCGTTCCAACAGGCAATAAGCCGCCCACCGAAGTCAAGGCGAAAGCAAAGAGAGAAGAAGAACGAAAGCGAAGAGGAGAAGGCGCGACGCGTCTTTGTCTTCCTCCTTCCCTTCGTCGCGCAGCTGTTCTACAAGTCGAGTTGCGTTTGGGGCAGAAATAGAGCTGGGCCTTGAGCAAGTGCGCCGTGTCCGTGGTGCACTAGTCGTGGCACGACCGGAGCGCTGGTGGTACCTCACGTTTCGAACTCCCTGGCTACGTAACAGCTGGGAAAATTGGGTCACAACATCATGGTGGCCCGCACCCATCTGGTGGCAGATGATGGTGCCGGCCGTGACTGCCAGAGACTCGGCAAGTGCACGACCCGGGTCAGCAACGAGCAACGAGAACCCCCGTCAAGGTATTTTCGTTTTCCGTCCATTTTCCTTCCATACCTAATCGGGTCTACTAAATTACGCCGACCAGTGCCTGTTGGGTGAAGAAGACAAGGTTACTAGGCAGGCAACGGAGAGTGCTGCGTGTGTTCCGCAAGGGGGCGTGGTGGCGAATCGATTCAAAGAGAACCTCACCACTTGCCCCGACTGTTGCGCCTTCCAGGACTGGACTGTGGGCCACACCATCTTTGCGCTTTGCCCTCCCCTCCCACCTCGGTTCGCATCTCTAGCCCCCAGAGCATTTGCCGTACCTCTCTAGATGGCGGGGGTGGCCATACCCACGCTAGCGCTACCCGACACCCGTGCCGGCGGCGGTGTCGGGCTCAAGGACTGCGACCTTCCCTCGACCGTGGACCGCGGCCAGCTCCTACCGAGCAAGAAGCGCGTCCCGACGTCGAGCCCGCGGCAGCCCAGCCTCCCTAACGACAACGACATCGAAGGCGTCAAGCAGGACCCCAACACTGTCAACTACGCCAAAATGCCGTTGCGTGACTACGACGGCACTTGCCCGCAGGCGCGGTTGGCCGCCCTTGGCATGCCCCAACGCGGCGTGGAGGACATGATCAGGATCGACCGGCTCAACGAAGAGTCCATCCTCCTCAACCTGCAGCGCCGTTACGAGGAGGACCTCATCTACGTACGCGACGCTCCTCGAATTCATTTCGCTCTCCTTTGCTGACTCGTGCGTTACCGTGGGTGATGGCCATGGCTGCAGACCTACACCGGGTCCATTTTGGTGTCGGTGAACCCCTACAAGCACATGCCCATCTACACGACACAGTATGTCAAGGAGTACATTGGCAAGCGGCTAGGCAGCCGGCCACCGCACATCTACGCCACCGCGAACGCCGCATACACCGCCCTCACAGCGTCGAAACGCAACCAGGCCGTCATCATCAGGTAAATCGCGCGATCTTACAGGAAGGCACTCAAGATGATCGCTGACGGTGTTCTTCTTTGCGCTGATCTTGGGCAGCGGTGAGTCTGGCGCTGGCAAAACTGAGGCGACCAAGCTGACCATGCAGTTCCTGGCCCAGTGCACTAACAAGCACTCGGAGGTGGAGCGCAAGATTTTGGACGCCAACCCGGTGCTGGAGGCGTTCGGCAATGCCGCTACCGTTCGCAACAACAACTCCTCACGCTTCGTACGTAGCCCTCGCTTTAGTGTCGGACAGGCCAGGCGAGGATGGCACACTTATTCTACTTCTACCTACCAAGGGGCGCTTCATCGAGATTCGATTCAACACCGCATGCAACGCTATCGAAGGCGCACGGATCACCAACTGTACGTGTCGCCTTTGGTGTAAATGAAGGTATGCTTCGCTAACTGAGACCGTGCTGGTGTGGCTGATAGACCTGCTGGAGAAATCCCGTATAGTCAAGCAGACCCAGGGCGAACGTAACTATCACGCATTTTACATGTTCCTCGCTGGAGCAACCGAGGAAGAGAAGAGTACGCGCACCGCACACAAGGCAGTTTGATCGGATTGAGAATGGGTTCATGCTCACGCTCGCACTCTCTTCATGCGCCACAGAAAAGTATTTCTTGAAGGAGGCCAAGGACTATCACTACTTGAACCAGAGCGACGTCTACACTCTGCCCAACGTCGACGACAAACACGACTGGGAGAGGATGCGGGTGTGTACTACGACTCCTTGCGCCCATCCGTCTCCAGATACTCATACCTCCCTCTTCCTTTATTGTCGTTAATCACAGTTGGCAATGGATGGACTGGGCCTGTCCAGCGAAGACCAGGGTAATGTACTCTCGCTCCTCGCCGCCATTCTGTGCTTGGGCAACACCGTGTTTGTCCTCGGTGAGAAAGATCAAACCAAGATCGCCGACGAATCCGGTACGTGGCCGAACAATCCCTGCACCCAGTCGTCGACACCAACCAACCAACCAACCAACCAACCAACCAACCAACCAACCAACCAACCAACCAACCAACACACACACACACACAACCAACCAACCAACCAACCAACC